GGTTTTTCCCCTGTGCAAATATTATTATAAATATATAGTCTACCTTCTCGTTTATGTGAATGTGTCACAAAATAAAAGTAATAGGGAAAATTATATAATCATTGAAATCGTATCCTTTTGCCTTAGGATAATCACGGCGTGGAAACTCGCCGAACAGTACAACCGAGAACATCCGTCGATGAACAGGTCCCGCTGTAGCTAGCAGCCAGGTGTAGGATGGTCAGTCCCGTATAGTATATATAGTATCTCTCTCTGTATAGTATATAGTATTTCTCTCTGTATAACAAGTAATAGTATCTCTTCATATAGTATTTAGTATATTTGTATAGACTCATGAATGAACTGACTCTTGTGTAATTCCTTGTACTAGGAATAATATTTTGTATCTCCTAAACTATACCCATAATAGTTTACTGGAATGTAGATTGAATGTCCAAGTAGGTTTATACACCCTTGCTACACAAGAGTGTTGGAACTGAAGAAAGAATGAAAGCTCTCATATCAATACATATATGTATGAAACATAAGTGTATAGATATGGTTTTTAACAATAAGTTGAAAGAGGTTTTGTAATACATTTAAGATTTTTGAACAATAAGTAATAATGACTTGATGTCAGTTTATAAAACGATTCAAAAGTAGTTCATTTGATAACAAAGAATAAAATAACTGAAAACCATTGTATTTAACACATTTTGAAGTATGTGAAATCAGTTGGTTGAAAACATAGTTATAAATCACATATGATTGATTCTATAACTTCCTGTTTTCTACTTGTATCCCCCCCATGAAAGCATTTAAAATCATTTAAAAGGATTGATTAAGGGGTATGAACTCACCTGTAGTGAGTGGTTTGGATGAACGGATGATGTAGGATGCTAACTGTCAAGTGAAGACTTGTACACACACAATGATCCTAGTTAACATAAAATAACACATATATGTATCCAATTAGTCATAAAACAACTAATTAACCAAATTTAAGACATCCTAAGACATGTAAAACACTTGATTTAAGTGCTATAAGTCCTAAGGATTGCATCTAAGGGTGGTAGGACCTTGTAATTGAGTTTAGGGTTCAAGGGTAAACTCCTTTGGATTTTACGGTTTTGTGACCAACTCTTATTGAGTTTTGAAGCCTAAAAGGTCATAAGAAGCATTCCTACTTCATATCTAAGCCTTTGGAAGTGATTAGGGCACCATTTCACTCCTTTGTGGAGTTTACGGTCCTTGGACCACTTCTCCTTGGGTTTACGGCCGTAAACCCAAATGGTTTATGGTCTTTTTGATGTTTCAAGTCCTAAGCACTTTAAGGATATGATCTAGACTAGTATCCAAGGCTTGGTAAGGGACTAGGGCACATTTTGGCCCCTTTATTAGGGTTTACGGTCCGAGAACATCTTGGACCGTAAACACCTTTGATCTTGTGTTTCTTGGGTGTTTTCTTGATGATTAGAAGTGTAACAAGTCTTATAATACACTAGGGTAAGAGTACTTACTAGGTAGAAGCTTGAAAAGGTGCTAAAAGTCCAAGAACACTAGTGTGTGTTCTTGGTGTTCTTGGTGAAACTTGAAGATCTACACTTTTGGAATGATTTCACGGATGGAATCATGTAAGATCACTAGATTAAGTAAGATATCAACTTTTTAAGGATAGAAACACTTACAAAGTTGAAGATCAAGAAGAAAAGTTGGATGATACTTGAGAGGATTTGAGTTTGGATCTTGAAAATGTGAAAAAGTGGTAAATAATGACTAAGTGTCATATTTATACCCCTTTTAGGGTTTACGTCCGTAAACACCTTTGTTTAGGACGTAAACTCCAAACTCTTGGAGTTTTGGGACATTATTGTTGCACAATAAACCCTAGGGCATCCTCTCTCCTGTTATCTCCTAAAGTACTAACTTCTAAATACTCAAACTTACTCCAGAAAGCTTGAAAGTTAGCAGAAACTGTTCTGACTTCTATTGAAGTGAATGGTTGTACATAATAGAAATTTCGGGTTGTCACATATATGGGTCTTCTTCCAAGTTGTTTACCAAAAGAAATTTATGTTGGATATCTCAAATTTATAGAATTGTTCATTCAACCGATTCCAGAATTTGAGTATCTTTTACAGTTCACTATGTTATTCAAGGTTCCCCAGATTATGTCATGGACTTTTCATTATCAAGAAGCCAAAGATTCCCAACAGTTGAAGCCAACTTTATCAATAGTCTGCCCTCTTCTGATAGCACTTTGATTTAAAAAATTAGAGATGTTGTCGGTTCTTCCCCTGAAGAACTTCAAAATTTATTACAAGAGATTTGCCAAATTCCATCAGTTTCACATGATTCTCCAAGATCTATCAAAAATGAATTATTTCAAGATGCTCAAGATCCCTTCGATAATCCCTATGATGAATAATTAATTTTATTTAATTTCATTTATATTTGGTGTCATACCTTCAATGTAATGTATTTTATTTCTACAATTATCAAAACTGTATTTTTCAAAACTGGATGTGTGAGTATACACTATGTGCATATACACTGCGTGATAAATTTTATTGTCAAAATTTTTATCAAGATACTTACAGGTCATTACCAAGTTAATCAATCAATATATGAATACAAAAGGATAACCTTGACAATCATTGATTACAAGAAGACAAGAGACTTTTCAAGATAAAATTATTACAAGAAGACAAGAAACTTTTCAAGAAAGTTATGTCCACAAGAAAATTAATTGATTCCTTTTTCGGCCATTTCATTTTACAATAAAAATTTGGCAATCAATAATGCCTCAAGAAAGATCCGGTAAAATCCCGTTTCTCGGTTTCAAGACTTGAAGACCTTATCAAGACCCCTATAAGTAGAATAGTTGTTTCTAGTTATAGGCATTCAAAAAATTTCACTCTCTCAAATGTTTAGTTTATGTCTAGAAAAAATCCTAGAGTTTCTCTGTGTACCTCTCGATGTTCAAAGTATATAGATTTCAAGATCACCCTTTCTCAAAATGCTTGTACTAATTGTATTTCAAGTCCAATCAAAGAAGATACTATTTAAAAGTACTTTATTCAATTCTTGTTATATCTTGAATTCATTTTTTCCTACAAATATTTTGGTTATTAATTATTGTTTCTTTATCATGACTATTTCATTTCAAAATATTATAATGATTAGTTCTACAAGATTTGAATTTTTTTGTCAAAATAATATTAGTTTTAAACAATCAAGTAAACCATGTTATTCAAGCTTAAATAAATTTTATTAATTACATCCTCGTTTAAACTTTACGTATTTATTATGGTATCAGAGCCAAGAAAGATTTTTGGGGTGGTTATGTGTGATAGATTTATTTCAAATTTGATTAATTTTGATTTAATATTCTCTAAGAAAATTATGAGTTTTAGTAAGTGTGATTCAGAGTCAAGACCAGTGATTGGTTGGATTAGCGTAAGACGCGTGAAAAAGGGCGTAAGTCTGGTGTCGGATCACAATCATCGTCGGGACGATTCCCCTCTGTACATCATTATTAAAAAAAGTAAGCTTTCTTATATAATCTTAAAACAAAATTAATTAAATATGAGTAGGTTTTCACGTATATTATCCAAAAAATATATTCTTGGTAAAAATATTAATGAAGAACAAGATTATAATAATAATCAAATAAATTCTATCGTAGAAACTATTGATAACATAGAACAAAGTTTAAGTGATTGGAAAATACAAAAAATGAATATAAATACAATATATAGAATATGATATTTTGACTACTTTCAAAGTTACTCTATCAAAATGAAATAACAAAGTTTGTCTATTGCTCAAAATCAACAAAATTTAAATCTACTATCAATAAGATCTATTTTAAAACATAGACAAAAGTATAAATTTCTTCATATAGGCTTAGTTCAAATTGCTATTAAACCTTTATTTACAATTGGTATAGATGCTCCCGTTTTACTAATTTCAAGAGATAAAATTCATAAAGATTTTCCAAATTCGATTTTAGCTATGGCTGAAACAAATATTGCTAACGGACCTATTTATTTAAATTATCCAAATTTTTCTGTAGGATTATTTGATAGAAACATTTTAGATACTTTAGTATTAACTATAGAAACAAAAAATTTAGAATTTAAAGATGATACAAAACCTTTAGCAATAATTTATCATGTTTGTTACAAAACTATGACTACTACTCTTGAACCAAGAACTCGGTTATCAAGTCTTCAAAATGAAACAATTATTTGTGAAGCTAACACTAATCACCCCAAAGTTCATAGACCAAAAAGATTATATATATATATATATATATATATATATATAGATATATATATATATATATATATATATATATATATATATATATATATATATATATATATATATATATATATATATATATATATACAGAGAGAGAGAGAGAGAGAGTTAGGTTCATATGTGGATGAACATCTATTGTGTGAAAGTAGGAACCAATCAGAATTTAACAAAAATTAAATTATTAATTAAATCAATAAGGATATATTAGTAATATTGCTTCTATATATTAATTAGTATCTAAAAGTAAACGCAGATATATTTGGAAAATCCCTGAAATTATGGGTAAGTTACCCTTAAAATCCCATTAATCCCACTGTGATACATATCTCGGTTGCATCACCACCACCATCATCCCACCCCCTCTTACCCTCTTCATTGATCATCTCCCACATCTCCTCTCTGTGTCGATGATGACAGAAAGAAGGAACCACCATAATAATCATCGCATCCACGACCTTCTTCGATTATTAACCAGGTGCATTCAATCAACTAACAACAAAGTTATAGGGATCGCTTCCACTATTTTCGCAGCATATCTACCTTCAGAACCCACCTGGAAATCGAAAAGATGGAGAGGATATCTTCATCTCCAGTGCTTGCATTTTCTAATTCAACCAAGTAAGAAAAAACCGCATCTCCCCAATTGTTAACTTTTGTTTTTACTGAAATCCCTAATTTTGAAAATTTCTTAATTAGTTTTCTTCTAAATTGAAGAACCGGTTCTTGATTTTTCCCATTAATACTAAGGGAATCAGGTCAACATCTTCAGAATTCACCATTTTGTACCCATGTAAGTAAATGCATCTCCTACCTGCATCGTGTGAATAAGTACAAAGACTATTTGGTCCGCAAATACCATGAACCCTATAAGAACGGGAAACGACTTGCCATTGAACTTTCCATTCCTTTCTTGTTTGATGTTCAATGAAACCGTACACTCTTAGATTACCATCGATTTCGATCTTCATCATTCTTTGGGGTCCGATTCCATAATCAAAGGAGAAAATTTCAAGACCATCTGATGACTTAAATTCACCATCGGAATTAAGGCTTGCTCTTCGATTGTATACATATTGGTATCTCCCAACTTCCCAATGTAGAAAACGGGGATCATGCCAGAAGACTCTAGTGGATACTGGATCTTCATAATGAAGACGAAGAATGCTATCATAGTCATCGAAAAAGAGCTTATAGAAACACGAGGCGTAACTCGTAGAACTTCTTGAAGAAACAAGTTGTCTGTTCGTAGTTAAGGGTTGATCTGGAAGAAGGGTATCTATTGGATAATCAAAGCTTTGCCAAAGAGATTGTTCTCTTTCAAAGAGAATAAGGTTATATGTGTCATGCAGTTGCAATTGCAATGAAATAGAAGAGGTTGATTTTGTGTGGGTTGACCAAATAATGTACTGCTCAGCATCTGTTAAAGCAAGATTGCCATCTTCAAATAATATAAACTTCAAGTATTTTCCGTTTATAGGTGCATCTCGGTTAGCCATCCAGACCACTGTGGGAACCCCAGTCGTGGGTTGATCCATGAACCACACAACAAAGCAATAAGCATTCTCTCCAACCTAATGAAAACCTGTTGTGAAAAGCCCATTTGCCGAAACAAAAACGTCATCGTGGAAGTCATTTCCTCATAGCCATCGATGTCGTATTATTTTCCCATTCCGACTATGAGTCTCCTCATGTTTTATCAATTACGGTATGTCTCTCCCTTGCTTTTTCAAAACTTATTTATCTATGTGTTTACATTTTAGTATCCCTTGAACTGTTCAAGGCTACTTGTTGGTGTTTATGACAATTACTCTTAATAAATTATTGCGTTAGATGACTGATATAAATCTGGGCAATTTCGTCTTTGTTGGATTAGGAAGTAAATTACTCTCCTTGGCATTATCTAAAGATGTTAATAGAAATCTAATTTGTTTTACATTCTAACAAAGTATTATATCAAGAACACGTGTTTTATGTAATATTCAGATTCTCACAGAATGCCTTTTATTATGTTTGCAGGTCTACAGGTCAATGACAATGTATTATTTAAAAAATGAATCTTTTTTTACATGTTACATTACATAAATACTGGAAACAAACCAAGAGCAGATGGGGATTCCTCAAGAATTGCAAGAATTTTTTTTGATTTTTTATTCATTTGATGTATTTCACTTTATAAATGTATTTTTATTTCCATTCATATAAAAGTGTAAACAAATTCTGCAAGAATATATCTTTTACATTAATATTTTAACATTTCAAATGATATGTTATTCAAATGCAATGTTATTCTGCAAAATTAGTATTCTAAAATTCTCATAGAATGTCATTCTGTTATGAAGTCATTCTGGCAGAATAAAAAATCGGGTAAAATTAAAAATAACGTTAGAATTAAAATTGAATTAATTAAAAAAATTCAGAATTCAAAATAAAAATAATCAAATATCCCTTAAATTTCGAAAAATTCATTAATTAAATTCATGTTTCCTAATTTGAAGATAATGCAAATGTACAATGTTACCCTTTTTTTAATTAAATGACATATATTCTATTTTCTTTAAATTAATAATATTGGTAAATCAATTTCTTAAAATAACAAAAATCATTGGTCTATATTCGTCCCTACATCTACACAATAGATGTAATCCACATTATAACATATATATATATATATATATATATATATATATATATATATATATATATATATATATATATATATATGTGTGTGTGTGTGTGTGTGTGTATGGGGTGGGGGGGGGGGAATCAATAGAAAATGCATAAAGGTTTGGAAACCCTAAAACCTAAAAACTCGATAGAAATACATAGAAAAAAAATACTTTAAGATATCTATTTTTATTTACTTTATAGGGATAAAAATCGCAGGTTTTGGGATACATTCGCTGAAAAAAATTATAAATTTTTTTTTTTAGCAATTTTTTTATTTTGTAAAGTCAAAAAAAAAGATTAGATATCTCAAAGTATTTTTTTTTTTATAGATTTTTAGGTTTTTTAGAGTTTTTTTAGGTTTATGCATTTTCTATTGATCTTTCATATATATATATATATATATATATATATATATATATATATATATATATATATATATTTGAATACGAAAATACTTATATAATAAAATCGAGTAAAATTATATCATATAGTTCCATCCAACACATATTGCAGATAATAGGCACATATATCATTTAATCATCTAAAGATTTCATATCTATGTGTAAGATGAAAGTAACTATGCACTTACTTGATAAAAGGGACGGCTGACAATTTCGGCAGCGCTTCGCTTCGTACTTTGAAAAGACCTAGACGCATAAAGTACTAAGCCTTAGTCTAGTATCGTAATCCTGGTGACTAAAATAATTATATTCTAGATTCCTCACTAATCCCAATGTCCACATCAGGATCTATCAAGTAAGGATCAACCAGGCCGAACAGTTGGGAGGCAGGACCATTTCAGCATATAACCTTTCTGAATCCAACAACCAAACCAACATGACCATTCTAGACACCTCTCACGTATGTAGATCAATCAACATTATAACTGGAATTACTGAGAAATCTTATTTATAGGTTCATAATAACGACTATGACTATAAATATAAGTTACACTAAAAGCGATATAAGTGTAGCTTAACTTATAGAGATTTTGCTGACAAAAGTCCAGAAATAGCACTGGCAGAACTCCAGCCTACTAGCTACTATATGTCGGGCTTTTTGGGGCCTCAGGGCTTCACCAGGGACTCAAAACTAAGGGAAAATGGGGCTAAGTTTGAGAGAAACTCGAGAGAGAAGTTTGGGAGGGTGTGGAGATCGAATTGAGAGTTGAAGCTCTATGTATACCTAAAATATCTAAAAGCGCGTCGCTCACGCTGTCTGTGCGCGCCGTACACTTTGTCGGGTGGGTGACATAGCTCCATGCAGAGTCTGACACATGGTGGAAATCTAGTGGAGTGTCAGAGCGTGCCGCGAACACCGCGCACACACGTATTTTCAGTTTTTTCAAAAAATAATATATTCTTCATACGAGCTCCGTTTAATATATCTTTATCGTCTAGCCCGAATCTGCGGGCATTACAATGTGACGAAGGTCTGATCCACAATTATTTTGTGTGACATCTCCATTTTTACGACAATTTTAAAACTTTTTATTTATGCTTATTTAAAACAGAGTTTATTTATAAATGCAAAATTTGGTCCCGTAAAAGTATTTATGAAGAAATGTTTTCATTGATTTATAAAAGCTTGGGATGCTGTAACTTATACAAAACATAAACATAAACAAGCCTAACAGTATCTTAGACTAACAGTTTCCATCTCCTTGAATCTCTCATCATTTATGTATCTTTATACTACTACCTGTGATACAAAGAAGCCGGGTGGGTCAGGTTGGGAAACCTGGTGAGTACATAGGGTTTTCAACTCACAATAATATAGTTAATATGTTTAATTATCAAACAAATGGCCCAAATTACCCATCCCCATTTTATTATTTATTCTTCCTTAAGGATCTATCCTAAGGGCCATCTTAGTCATCGTTGCTAACATTACTGTTACAACTAGCATTTTTTTCTAGGAAATTCTATTCTCATGAAAACATCATCTATTGTAAGGCTTGTACTCTAAGTGAATATCATACTCTATGTTCAATCAACGTCATCCATTTGAATCCAAACTCTTGAATGAAGGTCAAAACCTAATACAATACATCTCATATGTTCAACTATGGGTTGAAAACCCTAGAAATCCCGGTTCAAGTTCATTATGGACTAGGATCCTCTTATTGGGCCTTTTGGGCCAATAAACCTTCAATTTGACTATTTTGGGCCTAGGAACCTTATTTGGGCTCTAATTGGACCCACAATCATGAAACTAGAGTATTTTGGGCCATGTGGGCCTAAAATAATTCATTTTATCTCTAATAGGCCTTTTTAGGCCATAAATGATCCCAATTGCCCTAATGGGCCGTAAACCCTTTTAATTGGGATTCATAGATTCGAACAAGTCAAGAGAAGGCCCAAATTACTTCAATCCCTTCTTCTTAGCCCAATTCTTGGCCCAAACAAACAAAAAATAAAGAAATAAAGAAATGGAAGAAGGTTTGATTAAAACTTGACAACACATAATTATCTATCATCTAAACACATACTTCAAGGAAATCTATTATCCTTCATGCAAAATTCCTAATCTCTTCTCTCCCCTCTCTCTACTTACGGCCTAAAGCCACTCCCCACCATCATACTTCTCTATTTTGAACACATTATACTCTCTAAATTCTCCAAATAAAGCCTCTCAACTTCCTCACTAAAAATCGTGTGTACATGAGTGTATGTCCAAGAATCTTTCCACAAGATCACCTCTAGGTAAGTTGTTATCACATTCAAATGATTTGTTTCCATTTCATGCAAGGATTCTCACCCATAAACACTTTACTTCACGTTCTAGCTTCCTAGAAACATTCAAGTTTCAAAAACTCTCCCTAAGAAGCACTCAAGATCCAAAATCAACATCATCTACTCTCTTCCTTCACCAAAAACCGAAACAACAAAGCAAGGTGAGTTCATACCCCCTATTTTCGATTTTTACCTTGTTTTGGGGGAGAATACAAGTTGTTTTGTGTAGATCTATGTGTGTATGCATGAATATGTGTGTTTTTCATGATTTATTTGGTGGTTATGTGTTATTTGCTTCATAAATCTAAAAATATGTTAAGAATATTAAGTTTATCACTTGGATCTACATGAAAACCTTGAGAAAAGTATGTGTTATCACATATAATACATTTAAACTTGTAGATCTGGGATTTATACACTTCAAATAGCAAAAATGAGTGTTGTGGTCACAGATCTATAAACTAAACTCAAAAATCAGCCCTTGACAGAAAAGTTTTGGTCCAATCTCGAACTGTTTTGACCACCTTAATGATAATATTTTTCAAAAATGTTTTACATGCAAAATGTTCAGGTTTATACCTTTAAAATGACTACTCTCACGTTTTCATACGATTTTTCTACAATGTTTGGCGAATTTTACAAAACTGCCTATCATATTTGAAATAATTTCGGACCAGCCTGTGAAGGTGAGCAATTTCACACTTGTTAAAGACCATTAAAAATTATGAGAAAACTAATTAACAAAGTAGACAAAATTTCCAAACTTCCAGAGTTTACGGATCTAAATTTCGACTTACGATGATTTTTCTAAAAATTTTCCAACAACCGGGTCAGAAAAGTCAAAAACCATAAAAATGTGTATTTTCATAAAAATCAAGCCAAAAATGATATTTTTGACACAAATGGGTTAGAAATGTTATTTTTACCAAAAACTAGCTATAAATACAAGTTTTGAGCAAAATGGGGACAAAAGTGTTATTTTTATTAAGATTGGGCCTTAATTGTAAATTTTTGGCTTATTGGGCCAAGAATGTCATTTTTACAAAAAAATGGGCTTTTATTCCTTTTGGTAAATAATTGGGCTAAAACGAGCAATACAATAACAAACAAGCTAAATTTTGCCATTTTCATGT